CACGTTTTCAGTAAAAAGCACTTTAATCAGCTTCACATACCTTGACTGCATAATGGTCCTGCATAGCCATCATCGCATATGCAAGAATATGACGTTTTTGAGCTGAAACATCTGGAGTGGCCTGGACAGACAACATTTTGGCAGTGGTTGACAACTAATTGATATTGCACAATGATTTGCATATGAAAAAATGCTAATATTTTCAATACTTGAAGAGAAACAAAGCAAGAAGCCTTGGTCTTGCACGAATTGGTCAGAAGAGAACAACACTGTTGCCAGAGGGCCCGATGTCACGTTTCGCCGGAAAAGTGGCAAATTCTGCTTGTCGTATGAGCCACAAAATCTAGCATAGACACATCAACGTTAAAAGAAGTAGTAGTAAGATGAAAGGTGATACCTGCCAAGCAAATTCGAAGACAAGTCTGAAAGTTCGCCGTCGTATATACTCAAACTGTCGTAACATGCACCATCAAACGACGCTTCAAGCATTAGCAATTCAAGTTTGAACTGGAAAACCATTGTTGGACTTGTAATGAGGGTAAGCAAATTTCTTTGGCCAGAGGGGTACAAATTCGGGTAGTTCGGAGAAGCCAAAACACCGTTCGGTATTTTCAAAACATTTTGATTTGATATATCTGAAAGAATTCAAAAAGTTCACTGTTGATCTCATAAGCGTTAAAAAAAATTTGATTGGAGCCATGCCCTAAGTTCGATTTTAAAGCAAGTTTGAAACGTTTGCTTAGCAGTATATAACAAAAATTTGCTAGAGCTGAAGAACGAATGAAGAAAAATCACGTTCCAGGTGGAGCTCTCGGCCTTCATCAGCTAAGTAAAGAAACTCCAATACTTGTACTTTGACAAGTAAAGCCCAGCTGTTCGATGTTATGTCAACTGAACTTCTGGCCATCAAGCTAAATCCTAACCATCTGTCATCGCGCACTTGTCATATTTGAGGGGTACTAATCAATCGACCATTTTCTTCCCAACACAGAATCAAAATGTTTCGACCTTGCACGTATTTTCTATAGGCTAATCCATGTTTCTGATATTTCTTGCCCCACTGTGCCGATTTCGAACATTTTCCGTAGTCTGAATAGGAACGTTTTCAACAAGTACTTTTCAAAGGTATTCGATACTATCGCAATCGCTGTTGTTCCCTCGAAAAAGATGTGGTGTATAGTCATAATGATGATGGATCGGTTCACAAGTAATTTTCACAACTTTCGCAGTGGTTCCTGGTTACCATCTAAATGGAAAAAAGGTGCATGCCAAGAGTCAACAAGGACTTTTCCAGACCATCTTTATAGGAAGGAAAAGGTTATACTTAGAGATGAAGTGAGAATACTTTGAGGATCTCCTTAACCCTGAGCAACCGCGAGAAGGTTCGCCTGAACAGCAACAAGCAACGAATATTAATCGTGCAGTAGATGAGGTCACAGGTGATGTGAAAGGGTTGAAAAGTGACAACGCTGCTTGAATCGATCAAATCCACCCTGGAATGCTCAAACTTTAGGTAAACAAGTGATGCCATGGCTAACGTGCGTCTGCGAGACTGCAATAGGTACGGGTAAGACCCCAGTGGAGAATACCACGGAAGGTTGCAGTACCCACATTCAAGGAAAGAAACCAGAGGGAGTGCTACTAGCACGGCATTACCTTACTGAACCTCCAGGGAAAAGTCTACGCAAAAGTGTTAGAATGGAGGTGCCACCGAATAGCAGACTCTAAAATACAAGAAGAACATTGTGGCTTCAAGTCAGGCAGAAGCACATCAGGCCAAATATTCGCCTTTCCCCCAAACTGCCTGAGAAACTCTGGGAGTTTGCTCATCGGGTTCACATGTTTTTTGTTTATCTGTAAAATACCTATGACTGGATCCCGAGCAGCGAGCTGCGGCATTGCTGCAAATACATGATATCGATGGCCAGTTGCAATGAATCGTCCAGTAACCACATATTTATAGCAGGTGCTACATCAAAGTAAATGGCGTTAAGTCTAAGCCTTGCAGCGTTGGCACTGGTCTTCCCAAGGCTGCGTTTTGCCCCTCTTCTGTTTGTGTTGTACGTGGGTAGAATGGTCAGGCGTTGCCAGAACGAGTAGTGTTTCAGCGTATGAGATCGGAAAAGAGAAGGTTGTTGTTCGCAATGGATTTTCTTCTGCTGACTTCTTCTGAAACTGATCTTCAGTGGAATGCGACGTAGTCGGCATGTCTGTGAACGTGCCTAACGCAAAGAACTGTTGCGCTATCATTCTGCTGCCTAGTGCGCTTTGCAGATGGACTGAGATTCAGTGGAGCAGATGGAGAAATTCATATACCACGGAGTCATGTTTAGTGGTGATGGAAAATGGAAATAAGAGATCGACCGGTAAAATGGAATGTGCAGCAGCGTTCTACGTGAACTAGAACGAATCGTTTTGACTAAAGTAGCGATAAGTCTGAAGACTAAGCTCCTTGTGTATAAGTCGATCATCTTCTCAATGCTCACCAAACGTCATGAGTCTCAGGCTATATGAGAAACTTTGATCCTGCGGACAAAGGCTGAAATGGCCTTTTGGCAACAAATCGCTGGGTTCATGCTTGTCGACGTGGTGCAGAGCACAGATATCTAAGAAAGCCTTGATATACAGCCGCTGCTCTTCCAAATTAAGAAGTCACAGAAGCGCGCACATTCGGCACGTTTGGAGAATGCTTTCAGAAAGGAAGAAAAACAGCTACTCGTTGCTCCACAAACCGATCGAGGTCCCCGTGTACTCGCGAGAATTACTTAGCTAAAATGTCTCGACAGACCCTGCTACAGAATCGGGTTATGCTACGCCGAAGCTGAAACGCTGACTCAGGACCTGCAGTGTTGGAAGCACTGCCCGATGTGTCTGCCTCCGGGACATGAAAGGATAAACGGTACCGAAATTGACTTACTGACTGACTGACTGACTGACTGGTTTAAGAGGTTTGTTCACTGGAAAACGTCAGAGACAGCGTCCTATGATAGCCGATTAAGAGATTGTTAAATGCCAGGAAAAACATCCTTAAAATGTGAATCATTTAAAATTCGCAACGGTGTTGCTTCCTCAATACAAATTAATAATGTGAAGGAACGCTGTCGTGGGCGCCGTAAGCTTCCAAAATTAAATGTACTCTGTCAACTGTTTTTGCTTAATCTTAAAGGGTATTGTGAATCATTCGTTATTATTATGTCCTTTTTACAGCACATATTGGATTGATTTAAAGGTACCAGTTCTTCAGCCTTGTGGAATATTTAACTATTCGCAAAAATATTAAATAAGATACGCTAATTACCATATATCAGTTCACTGGGCATGTCGCAGTGTAAACCGGTCCAACCCGAAGGACACACGCAGTGTGGAATGTGCGCTTCTGCGGATGACGAAATGCAGTGACCGCCATGCTCACAGGTAAAGTTGTTGCAGGAAACGAAAGCTGAATATTTCAATAAAGGTTTGAGGCGAACCTTATTCACGAAGCTTAGTACTTGAACTCCACACTAACTTAAACACGTCGCTCTTTGAACTTGAAATTGCTGTGAACGATTTGTAAACGACTGTGAGGTACCGTTGAGTCGCATGAGAGATGTACGACAAACTGGGAAGTGAACAGTACCTGTAAAGTTACATGTATACCATAGATCAGTAACAGTAAATAGGACTGTTACTTACTTTGCCAGCTGCTCGAACGAATCATCAGCGCCATCGTGAACCGTGATGGCAGCATCGTGGCAATCGAAATTCATGAGGAGCATCATTAGATTCACTGTCGCATAGGGCCCCACATCGATCACAGTCGTCATTTTCAGGTTGGCCGAATGCAACCTATTCACCATGATGCCTGTTCCACATGTTACCGTCGTTCCGTTGGTCATACCTAACAAAGAAAATGGTCAATTTTCATATGAAAATTGGCATTTACGATCGTAAAGGAAGTCTTCTCAAATCTGATACAATAACAGTATGAGGATAAAATAGCGAATTGGTTTACCAGCAAAATTATTCATGAAGCGATATGCTTACATGTCGCCACAACCTTAGATATGTTATTCTTGAGCGTACAATAGGAATATTGGTATGCGAAGCTACCCTGCCCATTGTAACTACTGATGTAGGCTAGATCAAATCGATTCAAGGCCATGAGAAAGGTTCACGGTCGTCAAGCGTTTCCTCTGAATTCAGTTATACTGTGGTGACTCATTTAGGCAGGAAACTGATGCCAGATAAATTACAAGTAAACATGGAGACATTGCAGTTCGCACGGCAGCTCACACAGCCTACAACTCGCAATTTGAACGTTTATTAGTTATGGGATCGTAATTCACCGTAAATTACCAAATGTATCTATTGTAGTTCAGCTATCAAAGACACCAACAGAAATTAGCAGCATAGATCGCAAGTAATGATTTAAATACATCCGCAATATAATCTTTGGGTTAAACTTAAGTAATGCATATACCAGGTAATTAAACATATAAACAGGAAACATATCAGTATGCTTACCGTTTATCATTAAACAAAGATTATAATAATAAACTGTTATCAAGTTCGCTAAAGTCAGAGAACAGGCTAAACGGCACAGACTTTGTTCCAAACATTTGTTGCCATGGACAGATATTTTAAAATAAACCATTCGTTATCAATCATTTCTCTTCAAAGTAATCGAGAAACCTGTTCTGATAACTTCTTAAAATTTAACACGCAATGTAAAAACGGCTTTTATTTCTTTTCAGGTGCTCCTTTTAACATTTGTTATAAGTGAAAACGTTTCTTAAGTATTAAGCCTTACACATTATATAGAGTACGGTCTATTGATAGAATTACCTCTACTCGTTCTTTCGTCATCACCTCGAGGATTGGACTGATTCAAATTCAAGATTGAAACTTTGCAATGCAAGTTTCGTTACATAAACACTTCTGTCTCAGAACTTTTCATAATTTCGTATGTTTAGATTCAACAAGCTGAAGAGAACAACTACTGGGTGCAACTTCTTATAAGACCAGTTCTTTGGACTGTTCAGTTCTTCGTGAGCTTATTAATAATAAGAGTGCGCAAATCAAAAAGGAACTTCATTTCTCCTTTTTCTGGATATGATATTGTAGCAGACCGTGCATGCCTGGCTGAACGTTATATTTCCGTTGTCTGACCATGAGAGTGCCAAGTGAGATACATGTTGCCAACGAGTATGGTCCTTACCATCGGCCGTCTCGCACATGTTATTTTTGACTTGTACCAACAGAAAACTCCTTCGTTCTTCTACATTAGATCAGATTAGCTTTGACCTTGCAAGTCCTTTCTGTAGGTTAATCCATGTTTTTGACACTTCCGGCCCACAATCCATATTTATAATATTTTCTACCGTATTAATCGGGAAGGGGCTTTCAACAAGATCCTTTCAAAGATAGTCGATGTCACCGCAACGAGTCTTATTCCGCGAAATCGATGTTGTGTCCAGTCGTAATATCATGATGGATGGGCTAAAATGCTATTTCCAACTATCACAATCCTTCTTGGCTTGCAAGCGCTACCTTGCCAGCTCAATGTGCAACCCTGATCTATATGGCATTGATATCTGACCAATGTATCACAGGTTGCAAGTCAAACAATCGATCTGGTACAATACATCCGCTGCGTCTTCAAATGATATCATGTCTTTTGCCTTCGTTTGTAGTGATCTCAGTTTCTCTTTAAACTTGAAAGTAATTCTGATGCTCACTAAGCCCGCCTAACACATTTTCACAGACCCGGAAAGGTGATGTATGTATGTGATAAATGTGGGGTGTTGCATCGTTATAAAACCTTTTGCAGTTCTATGCTTCAGCATTTTCCGGATGAAATTTTATGGGTATTGATTTCGTTATAGTACTTCTTAAGAATGCTTCGTCTCTTTTCAAGTCCCATTATTGGAACATACTGTGGCCTTCATATTGATAACATATTGATCTCCAATCAGGCATTTAACTGTGAGAATGTTCCTGAGTCTCACTAAATGAGTGATGAAGCCTGAAAACTCCGGCCGAAAACTACTACCATATAAGCATTAATTTTGTGTGTGCAAATGTAAGTCAGTCCGTTACAATGACGTCGCTTCCTTTCGGAAAGCGAAGGCAGACGCGTCAGACAATGTCTCTAACTCGCTGACCCTGTGCCAGTGTTTGAGTGTTGGAAGAAGAAGACATGAGTCTGGAGCAAAGTCAGACGAGAAAAGTGCCTCAGTCATTCTTTGCCGTCCCTCGATCTTCGATCGGTGGCTTGAACAAGTAATAGCTGTTCTGCTTCCTTGCTGGAAGCATTCTCAAGATGCACCCAAACTATCGCTGTGACTTCTCAAACTGCAAAAGTACATTAAGACACTCTGGGAAATCTGGACTCCGGATCATATCGAGATGCCTGAGTCCAGCGATTTTGAAACCCATTTAGGCGATTATAGTGGAAATCGAAGTTATTATATCATGACTCACGAATCATGACCAAAAGTTAGCATGGAGATGAACATCGTATAAAAAACAGACAGTTTATAGACTCAAATCTTTATTAGTCGCAACGGTTCCCGTTCATTCACGTTGAACGCTGTTGGTTATTCCAATTCGCCGTTTGATCTCTTCCTCCCATTTGCCATCACCAGTAAACCTAACCCAAAAATACGTGAGCTTATCCTCATATTTTATTGCTTCTCTGCTTATCCTTAGCATGCAAAGGAACGAGAAGGTACTGGGCGTTTCGCTTCGGACGTATTCACACGCATGCCGGTCACATCGCGGTCGGCTGCGAACCTTTCCGGAGACCGCTGGAGATCAGTTGGCAGAATAAAGCCAACAATTTATTGCATGTCAATATTTCACGCGAAAATTTAAATCGTTGTTCATGCATCCAATAACATCAGTTTCTATGGATTAGATGCCTGCAGTTCGTCCTCATTATTGTAAACGGGATTAAGCAACATTTTAAAATCATAGGGCGTTTGAATCACACATTCGCTGCACATCAGCGTACGGAAAAGGAAAACGAATGAGGGTAAGTTCTTATCCAATTTCGACGATTATGACAAAACCATGGATTCAATCCGGACATGCCTTGGGCACAATGGTGAATAATATAAATCCCCCAAAAACACTGTTGGCATCATTATACATGTGCGATTTTCCCTCCTGTGCAGTGCGAATTGATGATAGGTTGAGCAAATTCTTTTGTAGAAAGTTTTGAATGAGGCAGGGTAGCACGGAACATTTTTTGTAGTTTGCAACGTTTCTTCACTGCATCTCTGAAATCTGTGCATAACCGTAAGTGCGGAAAGTTCAAATCTTTGCACATAATATTAGTTTCATCACACTCCTGCTAGATGCTGCAACCAGTAAGAAAGAGTGAGTCTAAACTACAGCAAAAGTGTGCGTCTTCTAAAATTGCTTGAATTTGCAGAAGTTATCTTATTGATAGTATGGAGCTTCCATGCTGTGACATTGTTGTTTCTAACTCTGAAGCAGAATTTTTCTAATTTCTGATTGGTCCCTCCATTAATTAAACAAGACAAGGTGATGGAAATAAGTAGAAACAATACCAACAACCAGCTAATGCATGACATCAGTGAATGTGTGGAGTCAGTAACTGAATTTTAGGGAGTACTTTTGCTGCTGATGAACCGGCGACAAGCAGTCTCAAAATTCACTGTGCGACAGCAGCAAATAAACTAAGTAATGGAAGGTAAAAGATATCGACCATAACGCGGAACTGGGAATATAAAAATCAGCATTCAGAAAACTTTACCCTATAGTCTGGCGACAGCATAGCCTGAAAAAGCAGAAAACAGAAGACAGGAAGTGACGAAAGTGATTATTTTAAGATCGATACTGGGAGTGAGGTGGTAAGATCTGGTTATAGATGTCGTACGAGAGAATCAATCAAAATAACCAATTAGCTGCAGACAAGTTGTACAGCAGGTACGCCTTGAACAAGATCGCAAAATGCTGTAGGAACTGAAATGATCTCAGAGAGGCTGAAATAATTCGATCCAGGTGCAGTGGCTGTAAGACGCCGGCACTGTCTTTCGGTTCAGCTGCATAAGAAGAAGAATTTATTTATGCAGAAACTTAAGGAAGATTACATGCTGTACATCCATGAGATATACAGAAAAAGAACTGCAACGTGAAATGTGTGCATTGAGAAATTACCACTAGCGAAAAGTAATTTGCCTGCTTGAATAAAAATCTTTAGTGAAGAACCAGTGCCAATTATTTCATTCTGTACTACTATATTGAAATACATAGATACTTACTCAATTCAGGATAAACATCGATGTCGCAATTAATACCACTATATCCAGGTCGACAGCCTGAAGTAGAAAATGTGAAAAAGAGACGTCCACCTGTTTCAGGAGACTCCAGTACAACAGACATTGCACCAAAGAAGTTCTGAACAGAGTTTAGATTGTCGCCACTCTTGTATCTGAAAGTGTAAAAATTTGGCATTATTATTTTGCTGCTAGGAAAGAATAGTGAAAGTACTGATTAGAGAACAAATAGAACCGATTTATTTTTAACGCTGATATCGTACACTAAAAGTGGCTGTTAAAGAAGTGAAACAAAAATTTAAAAAAATTTACAATTTTTATCTTTTACATTCGACTTAATTATTTGTCATAGATAAATAATTTTGAGTTATTTCGAAGAATTGCTAAGCGAAAGAGTTGAGGACCCACTTCAAGAACGTCGGTACCAAATACAACGCGTATATTGTCTAACAAATAATGTTTTACCACCAGCATTGCAAACTCATTGTTTCTAGCAGTTCATTTGTTTTGGACCGGAGTTGTAACGAAAGGATGGTTAATTAAAATTTTGATACAGATCATCGCGCTGCACTCTTTCGAGATAGACTCTCGAATACAACTCTGTTTAAGAAGGTAAAAGATTTTGCTGGCTCGTGATCTTAAATAATATGGCATTCCTAACTATACCATAGGATTTGAGAATGTTATATTAATATTTCGCTCAAACAGACGTTTCATCCATCTTGGAATATAAGTGATTGCAATTAATATCGATACCATCATACCCCTTCATAAAAATCGTTTATCGTTTATATATAGTATATGAAAAGAGGCATTTCATTATTAACTTAAACGGACTTCAGTAATAATGGTTAGATGATTTAGCTAACCAGTTTCACTAATCGGACTGTTCATGGTACGCTATGTAACTGGCAGTCTAAGACCTTACTTTTGCACATATCTCATGGACAGAATAGTATTAGGAATGTAACTTACCGTTGTAAACTAATACTTTGGATTTGTGTTATTAGGAATTGTGTGTAACCATTGCATGAATGATGCCTGTGGTTTTAGTAACTCTCTC